AGCGGACCTGACCTAGGGTGGATTTTACATTGGGTTTTAAATATTCGGAAGACGCAACATTAAAATTCGGTTTAATTCGGTTTTAAGGGGGGGATTGTATATATGTTCTGGTTTTAAATATGTTGTGCGCCGCCCTGAGTCCCTGTCGGGAGAAGGGCGGCATATAAATTAAATAAATAAATAAATAAAATAAATAAAATACTCGAATCACCATTTTTTCCCAGTTCTTTGTGGAAAAATAGGTCCCTCGGCTTATAGTCAGGTCGACTTATACTCGAGTATATACGGGTATATATTTAGTCACCTATGTTACTTAATCCTTCTTCATTTGTTGAACAACAGATTTAGATCAATACTAATTCAAAAATACTATATGGATCATTATTACTATTCTACAGGTAGTCTTTGCTTAGTAACCACAATTGGGACTGGCAACTCTATCTCTAAGCACCATGGTTGTTAAATGGAAAAACCACATCACTGCAACCTATAGGTTCTCCATTAACTCTGCTTGTCACAAGCAGATTGCAAAGTATGCAAATTGTGATCATATCACCATGGGATGCTGTGACAGTTGTAAATGCAAGCTTTGGTTACAAAGCTGTTCTATATTGTCATAACTTCAAAAGATTGCTACATGAGGCAGTCACAAGGATTCTTGTAATGTACTCAATACAAAGCTCTTATTTCAGCCTTGCAAGGACTTGTACAGTATTTTTCTAGGATGCTATATATCATCTTAGTTTTTCACATCCTGGTATTTATAAAACAATTGATTCCCAACGAGATGTAATTTATAAAATTTGAAACCAGCCTTCATAAACACAAATTAAAACTTTACTAAAATTATAAAAACATGAGTAACAAAATATCCTTTCAGCCCAAATCACTGCACAGGGTTGTGGGAAAAACAGGAGGAGGAAAGTGTAGTGGATATGTTCACCGCCTTGAGTTATTTGTAAAAATAATAAAAGTGGGATATAAATAAAAAATAATAAAAATAAATGTTGATGCCCACAGTACATTTTTCTACTGAAGCAGAACCTACCATTTTATGTCACTTAATGGAGATCCAACTGGCCACGAAGCTAAGACAGAATATTGCTATTCAGCATTCTGGAGCCTTGAGGGAATACTATTTTTTTTTTTATCTGTACTGAACAATGCATAGCTATTTTTCTTTCCCTGTTTTTCTTTCAGTTCCATCTTGCAGACTGATAAGAATAACTGAATAATGGTCTCTGTCAGATAAAACTAACTACATAAGTGGGAATATAACAATATCAGAAAAATGAGAAGGCAATCTTCATTTGCTTGACTACTAAAAAAAAAGGTAAGTCAACTGGAGAAGGTTGCTCCAAAACCATAATACAACTACTGAAAATGGCCTGTTCCTCAGCTGCAACCTACCCAATTTCTAAAGGGGTGCTTTCTGATGTTACTTATAGCAAACAGTCAGGTGGAAACTCTATTTTTTACTCCAACAGACCCACTAAGGCATGTGATGAACTAACCCAATGTCTAAAAAGACAGAATAATCTTTTTTTTTCAATCCCCCCTCTCACTATTATCTTTTTTATACAATTATATAACCAGTAAAAACCAGTCAATGTCTTTATCATTCAAATACCATGTTTTCCCCAAAATAAGACCAGGTTTTATATTAATTTTTGCTCCAAAAGACGCATTAGGGCTTATTTTCTGGTTGGTCTTATTTTGGGGGCAATACGGTATTAAATGTGTCTGTCTGGCTGACAATCTTAACTGGGACTTATTTTTGGGGTGGGGCTTATAATACGAGTGTCCTGAAAAATCATGCTAGGGATTATTTTCCAGTTGCGTCTTATTTTGGGGGAAACACAGTAGTGGGTCATTCGGAAGATTGGTCCAAATTATTCATTTTGGCTTTTGATACTTATTACACCTGCTTCCTTTATTATTGACTATTCAATTTCATATATAGCATTAATTGAAAGTTACCTCAATTTTTTGCTTAGTTTTATACTGCTTGCAGTTTTTTTTCTAGTTCACTTCTTTTTTATTTTTCTAGAATGTGCTTTTAAATATTTACTAACATTTTTAAAATGAAAAAGAAAGATAGGTTCACTTTCCTGGTAATTTTCTGCTTGCACTTGTAATATTAGAGATTGAGCATTTTTATTTGTTATCTCATCTTCATCATTTTAATAAAAAGTTTAAATAAATTAAAAGAATATATCTCAGCCACTGAAAAAACATCAAATAATCCATAATACAAATAAAGCAAGACTTTATATAGGCACGGCACAATGTCTTACCTTTCTTAAGACATGGAAATCTGAATAATTTAACTAATCCAAAATCATCTCCAGTCACTAAAACTGTATTATTATAATTCCCATCTACAGAGTTAATATCTGTAACATCACTGTATTTTGTCCAGATTCCATTTACTTCTGATCCTATTACACAGGTCCATGAAGCCCAACAAATTCCTTTGATCTCATCTTTGTTTGCCAAATGTTTTCCAGCTGAAATAAATTTAAATTAATAAGTTATTTAATTATATTGTTTCAGGAGCAGCTGAACACAAAATTTAATATTTTTCCAATTTCTTATCAGAAATTATTTTTTCTCTTGGGCCTTTTGCCATTGCTGAGTTGGAGGGCTATCCGCTCATCTTTAAATGCACAACAAATCCACATAAATTTGTTGAACCTATTGCTGATCCCTTTCACAAGTAATTGTTTCAAGCAACTGCAAATAAAGATGATGCCTGACTTCTCTCCAAGATAATCGGCAACAAGGTTAACAAATTTTATACACTTTAACACCTGTACCATTGGACAATGAAAAAAAAAGGTAGAGACAGAGTAAGTCATGAGAAAAATGAGCTGAATCTGAACAGAATAGAATAACAGAATTGGAAGGGATCTTAGAGGTCTTTTAGTCCAAACCCCTGCTCAAGCAGGAAGCCCTGTACCATTTCAGAGAAATGGTTATCCAATCTCTTCTTTAAAAAAAAATCTGTATCAAGAAGTCACAGGGGAACAGATAAAGTCCAACTACACTGAGTTGGGTCAAAGTCTATAAGGCAGAAAAACCTCTGTCTTAGCAATCATGAGACAATGAGAACCTCTTGGTAACCACTATTACTATTGTGAGAAAAAAGAAACTGCTGTATCAAAAATCTTATACAATCTGCCTTTGGTGTATAAATAAAACCCAGAATGGGGATTTTGTTTTTTCGATGAGATTTGATTAAAAAAGATCTCAGTGAGTCTGGAAAAGGAATTTGATCTGTAACTTTATTAGATATTACATTTCATATCTTTCACTTGCAGATAAATTCTCTCCCATCTTCCCCCTTACAGTATTTGTAACAACACATCATTTGATTTACAATACAATAAAATTAATTTTTTATAATAAATTAATTTTAATTTATTTCTGTATGTTGTTCTGATGTCCATTTATTTTTATAGATCCTTTAAGTTTTGCCTTGCACATCCTTATTTCCATGTTCAGTAACATGCAATCCATGGGGAAAAGTTTAAATATGATGGTTCTTCTTTTGATTGAAAATAATACATTTTACTATTTCCCTATTATTATATAACTAAAGTGAAATCGGTCAGCTTAGGAATTCAAGGAATTCAAGGAAGGAATTGATCTTATGAAATGGTTGGCATTGTCCCCTTTGCATTACTTAGGTTCTTCATAATAACCAGACAACAGTAATTCTAAAATTTATTTATCCAATTATTAGATTGTTACATATCTATGTGACTCTTGTGTGACAGTGTATGGATAAAACAATCATAATAAACATATATAACATGCAATCTCTTTAAAACGCATATAACATTAAATCTTCTTTGTTGTGGTATCCATCTTATAGAACATTCTCCCTTCCTTCTGGACATTAGGTTAGTTCCATTCCTTTTGATGTTCTCTCTTTCTTTCTCTCTCTCTCCCCACTCAATGTTTGTATATATGTTTAGTTTTTTATTTCTATTGCTGATTTTTCTATTTTTAAATACACACACACTGTACAATACACACACACACTCACACACACACACATACTGTACAATACAAGTCATCCAGAGTCCCAGAGATGGGAGGCTATGTAAGTTTGATTAATAAATAAATACAATATATTTGTAGTAGTTGCAGTGGTTCACCTCCTTCAATGGTCAGTCCAGGGTCTGTGTTGACAAGAGGGAGGAGATCGCATCTACTCACATGGGGTACCTCTGTGTTTAATGCTTTCACCCACCCACCCACCCCTTTTAACATCTACATAGATCTGCTGGGTGACATTAATTCAGGTTTCAGTATTATTAATACCATTATATCAAATGTAATTCAGATGAGGTAGTTATATTTATGTTAATATTATCTTAATTTTGTGATATTCATGCTGATTTCTCTTACTGGTGTAATGAAACATTAAGAAATTACAGAAATTTCCATTTGCATAATGACATCATTGCACAAATAATAAATGATGCTTTAAAATGAAGTTTCATTGTACTGTATTATTACATTGTATAGAAAAATGTAATACTATTACTTGATGCTGAATTATTCCAAATTCTAATATTAGCTAGTCCAGTCTTGATAGTCAAATTATTTTCCATTGTCATGCCCATCAGTTCCAATAAATTTCAAAAAGAAGGAATTCAGTAATTATTTCTAACTTTCATAACAGTGTTATTGTATTTATTTACTGTATCAATATGCAATGATGTAAACTTTAGCATAATTTTAAACATAATAATCTACAACTTTAAAATTAAGAAAATTCATATACAGTAGTGAAACTGATGATTTTTAGCTAATTGTTTTGGCTAATTTTTAAATTTTGAATTTACTTCATATATATACTACTGTTCATCTAAGGAGGTTAAAGGGATATTTATGTTCCCCCATGCTCTGGTCTAAGTTCCTTTGCTAAATAGATGATAGATAGATAGATAGATAGATAGATAGATAGATAGATAGATAGATAGATAGATAGATAGATAGATAGATAGATAGATAGATAGATAGATAGATAGATAGATAGATAGATAGATAGATAGACAGACAGACAGACAGACAGACAGACAGACAGACAAGTTAATGGGGAATAGTGCTTATTTCAAGTCATCACACAGTCCTATCCCTGGAGTATATTGATAAAAATGTTATGTACTGCTCATTAAGATTAAATGCATGTAATGAAGAAATATTTACTTACATGGCATCCTGTAGAAGAAGCGTGCTCCTGCACCATCATTTGTTTGCAAGAATTTACTGTCTAGAGACCAGTCAATATGAGTGATAAAACTAGAAGATTTGTTGCATTCTCCAGTTTTCTTATACCGCTGAGCAACTGCATAGATATCTACCTGACCATCATTAGAACCCACTGCAAGATAGCAGCCGTCTGGTGAAAACTTCATTTCATGAATCACTTCTTTCCGATCTTTGATATGAACAACTTCTGTCATATCTCTGCAAAGAGTATTGAAACCATTGTTAGCAGTGGGTGTGCAAATGAAAAAAGATAAGATGGTGGTATGTGTATTATCTACACAGATTCTGTATTGCACAAACATGCTCTTGAAGGGCAATCCAATACAGATGTAGTTAAGAAGTCCTATTAAGCTCAAGAGAATTTGTTCTTCAAAAGTATTGTATAGAATAGTAGCCTTGCAGCAGAATATTATGTCTATTCAGAAACAACCCACTAAATTCAACTGTTTTTCTTATAAATGAATACAAGATTGGCAGCAGGAAACACACACACACACACACACACACACACAGGAATAAGTCACTTGAATATAATAGTGTTTCGAATTAATATCTAAAATTATATTTTCAAACTTTTCCCCCCAATCTCAAAAACAGACAGCACTGATTTTGTTTTGCATGCCACTCCCTTTGAATTTTACAGTTTTATGTTTTACAAATAACCCATCATAATCATAATCTTTGGCATACTGTTGCTTAGAATGAATATCTGCCATCATATATCAGAAAAATTATTTAGCTGGTAAATAAGATAATTACTTAACAGTAATGTTAGAAGCTAAAAGACAATCCACAATGTTCAAGAGGGATTGCTGTTCCAAATGAATTAGCAAGCATGATTTCCTTCTATACTATATTGCCTGTGCAGAATTCTGCTGGATCAGAGCAATATATAAGCCTCACTATGTACAGTAATTAGTTTAGAAATAAAGAATACATCATTAAAGAGAAAAAGAAACTGGCCACTGTATCAGCAATCCCCAGTTATGCACTTTGTTAACAGAGATAACATATTTATTTTAACCTTGATCAAATCAGCCAACTTTATTTTCCTCTCTTCTGCAGTTAAAATCTTGATATTTACTCCCATCAAATAAAGTTGTAGAGCTTGATTTCCTTTTATTTTTATTTTGTCCTTTCTCACAACATCTTTCAATGTTAACAAACCTTTTACAGAAATCCAATATAGGAAAATTATCCAGGTCACTCTCTTTGTCTGTTATTTGTATATTTGTAGGAGAGGAAGATGCAGAGCTTGGGGGAGGAATCAAGAGAGGACTCAGCCTAGAATCATGTCCACAAATGTTCCCAAGTATAACCCCTCTCCCTGAATTCCATTAACTCTTATCTAGGGCTAATTTAGTGATCTAGGGCTAATTTAGTGATGAACATTAAGTGGTTTAGTGATGAACATTAGGCTAGAACTAAGGAGAAACTTCCTGACAGTTAGAACAATTAACCAGTGGAACAACCTGCCTCCAGAAGCAGTGAATGCTCCAACACTGGAGGTTTTTAAGAAGAGACTGGACAGCCATTTGTCCGAAATGGTATAGGGTTTCCTGCCCTAGCAGGGGGTTGGACTAGATGACCTCCAAGATCCCTTCCAACTTTATGATGATGATGATGATGATGATGATGATGATGAACAATAAATCTTAATTGGAACTTAACATATGGTCTTGATTCTTTGTGCCTGACAATATATTCCTTTTAATTATTAAAACATCACTCAGTTTATTTTATATGTCCAATGTAATATTTTTTTCCATATCATTCTTGTAGACTGTCTGTTTAAAGCCCATTTTAAAATCAGTCTTGATCTTGTCCGGTGAAACTTATTCTTCTTCCATAATCTTTTAAAACACAGTCTATTTGTAGAAGCAGACACTTTGAAAATGAACTTCTGACTCCATTGTTCAAAACTATCCTTTAATGGGACCAATGTTAAGGAGAGAATTGAGTGCCGTGCTGACATCTGACCGCAGCAGAGACAAGCAACAGATGCTTTGTGAGGTGGTTGGCTTGGAAAAGGAAGGATGAGCAAAGCGCACCCACCGGAACTGAAGAAGTTATGGACAAGAAGCTATCATTAAAACTAAATGGAGGTCAGCATGTTCAAGGGATATTCAGAGGTTTTGATTCACTCATGAATTTGGTGATAGATGAGTGTGTGGAAATGGCACCTGGCAGACAACAGAACAACATAAGGATGGTGGTAATACGAGGAAACAGCATCATTATGCTAGAAGCCCTGGAACAAGCATAAAAAAATGAAGTACTGGCTCTTTCTACAGTGTGGGTGATTTTTATTATTGTTGGTTCTACAGGATCATTCCATGTTTACATTTTTTAAAAAATAAATTCTTAAAAGCTGGTAAAAAAATAGGACCAATGTTAAAATATTTTGCTTCATTTTATAATTGTTTAGTTTGAGCTTTCTTCTCTTTTAATTATTATCTTTAATTCTCTCTAGTGTCCAATTTTTAAAGTCTTATCTTAAGTTTTTTTAAAAGAATTTAAATCAAAAGCATTTTCCTATGGGAAGGATTCTTTTTTTTAAAGTTCTTAAACTTACAGTTAAAACTTCACTAAGGACTAAAAAAAAAAACCATCCAACACTATAAAAGTTGTTGATCTAAAAATTCCTAATAGTTGAAAAGCAATTAATAAGCAATTTTCAAAGTGATTAGAAAAGGAAGTGTGCAAATCCAGGGTCCTTTCAAAGGTGCTGACTGAGCAAGATACAGTAGCTATTCGCCAGAATGCTAAACCCACTGCAGACCGATGTCTTATGGCAGTGATGGCGAACCGTTTAGAGACTGAGTGCCCAAACTGCAACCCAAAACCCATTTATGTATCGCCAGGTGCCGGGTGGGCGTGGCCTGCTGGGTGTGGCTACAGTGGTCATGGCAGATGGGTGGGCGTGGTCTGGGTGGGCATGGGCAGCTCAATGTTGCTCTTGGGAAGGGACGCCTGTGGGGGCCAGGCAGGGTTGGGGGAGATCCAGGGCGTCTCTGGCGGGTGGGGCAGTGGGCAGGAAGCTCATCCTGCGGGGTGAGGTGAGGCAGGGCGGGGGTGCCATTGTTGCAGGGCAAGGCGAGGCAGGGGCCGGGGCAGCTGCTGCCTGACATCATCGGCCCCCACACACAGAGGGCAGTGAGCGCATGGGTGCTGGGATGCATCCGGCCACGTGGGACCTCAGCGAGTTAGCGGGTGGCTGGTTGAAGAGGGACAGTTGGCATCTCCGGGGCATGGCTCATGTGCCCACAGAGAGGGCTCTGAGTGCTGCCTCTGGCACGCGTGCCACATAGGGTCACCACCACTGTCTTATGGTCTCCTTGTGAAGAGCAGCTGCCTAGATTACTGGATTACTTGTGAGAGATCTCAAATTCTCTCCTTGTCTGGAGAAGAATTATGAACCAGCTGGTCTACCTGCTGTCTCTTCATTTCCCTACGGTCATTGGCTCCACTTTTTACAGAATTCTCTTCACTCTGCCATTTCTTCCCCAGAAATCCAAAGCTGCCCAATTCAGATAGGATAAAGATATCCTTTTTCTCTTTTTCTTAAGAATATAGTTTTTAGAAAAATAATAAATCAGATCTGGTTACAGAAAACTATGATTTAATAAGCTAGAATTAAAGCATCTAAGCTAGGGATGCAAAAAGATATATAAAGATATAAAGATTAGGTTTACTCACCATGTTAGTTGGTTTTGTTCTAATTTAAAATTAAGTTATAATTTAGAAAAATTGCATTGGTTACTATAAACGCTAAGTGATGAATACTGTATACAGAACACAATGGCTAGATTTATATATTGTGCTAGACCAGGGGTAGGCAACCTTGGCTCTTTTATGACTCGTGTTATAAAAGAGCCAAGGTTGCCTACCCCTATGCTAGACCCATATAATTTGTTTCAGAAAACTTATCCTCAAGCTTTCAAAATACGTTTTATCAGACTATTGTGTCTTATTCAAGCCAACAACATCTACAAGAATTCTCAAAAATTGCATTAATATGTTTCAGATTTGGTCTGAATTATTTTTTTAAGGCAAGAGTCAAGCCTACCTTACTCTCAGAACAATAAAAGAGCCATCTTTCATTCCCAGAGCCAGCTGAGATCCATCAGGGTTGAAAGATACACTCCGCACAGCTTCTTCCATATTGCATCGGGCAATCAAAGCATGATCAGCAAGACTCCATAAGCTTCACAAGAAAGAAAAGATGAAAAAAGTCTGTTTATCATTACAATGTGGCATTTATGTATTGCTTTTTTGGCCAGAGAGACATTACTCCAAACTTTATGTGTATCTCTCCCATTCTATTCTCTGCTTATCTGGCTCACAGAACAGATTAGAGTAAAAAGGGTCTGGGTGGTTTGTAGTGCAACATATGAATGGAATGAAATATCATCTTATTACTATGTGATTCAATTTTTCAATATTTTTATTAATAACTGGAATAAGCGGTACAGGGAATATTTATCAGATTTGAAAATGGCACTAAACTGTACCGGTATTTTAACTATTAATCACGTTAATTACTCTATTTGTATTTATTTGTTCAGGAGCTCAAAGCAACCTATAGAATGCTACCTCCAATTTTCCTCACAACAGCAATTGTGTGAGGTAGGTTTGGGGAAAGAGAGAGGGGGGGAAGGGAGGGAGGTAATGAGAAAGGGAGAGGGAGAGGGAGAGGGAGAGGGGGAGGGGGAGGGGGAGAGGGAGAGGGAGAGGGAGAGAGAGAGAGAGAGAGAGAGAGAGAGAGAGAGAGAGAGAGAGAGAGAGAGATTCAAAGTCAATCAGTCTGAGGGAGACTGGTTGGATCTCCTTGATGCCACCCCTTTAATTGCCAAATTATATTGCCTGTCTGTTTCATTAAAATCATTTTAATCCTAGTCCAAGAAAGTTGGAAAGGCTACTTTCTCTGGGATTATTTTTCACTCTATTGAACGGAAATTAAGATTTCTTTTTATATTAACCATTTCTGTAAAGAAAATCATATATTGATGATGCAATTTCAATTCAGACACCCGCACCTTGTATTTCTTTACTGAACATTTATGAATGTTGAATCACCTCTCACAAAAAAGTATTTAGTAATCTCACTTAGACAAGAAAGGAAGTGATTAAGCTGCTAGAAATTTTACTGTACTGATGTTTCAGGATGCTTAAAACTCAAGTGTAGCTCTGAGAAAAATGATTAGAACTAAAATAATTTTCAAAGTTATCTCACATATTTTAACACTACTTGGTGTATTGCTGGGTTTTCTTTTAGTTAACAAATTTATTGCACTTTAAGTACCTATTCTTTGGCTAATAAACTGGAATATAAATGCTGGAATAAATAATATATAACTAAAAACATAAATAAAACATTTAGTTGATTATTTTCTTCTGCAAATTAATTGATCACCAGCATTATGATCTTCAAAGCCATGAGGATTTCCCAACACAGCTGTGGCGAAACATTAGGGATAAATGCTGGTGCCTTACCGCACAGATCGATCATCACTGCCAGTAACAACTAATGGCTTTTTGGGATGGACTGCCAGAGCCCAGAGCTCGCCTTCACAGTGACCTTGCATGATGAGCATTGGCTTGTCTCTTTCTCTCACAATAATTTCAAATATTTCACTGTCCTGTGTTCCTGCTAGAAGTCGATCTGCTTTCCAACACACGCTTCGAATAGATAAACCTGAGAAAGGATAGAATAATCTTTGTATATTAATGAATAATTAGCTGTAGTGGACACAATCCAGCTTCAGTTAAGCATTGTGAAGCCCTATTATTTTTCAGTAGAAGATTTAAACACATCTGTAATTTGTCTTCTTTGTAATGCAATAGGAAACAAAAGGCTTCACTTTAGCAGAACCATGTCTTTAGCAAATTCCTATCCAATAATTGGTAAGCACTTCACAAATAATTTAAAAATGACATAAAAAGATATTAAGCAAAAATAATAAGACTAAAGTGGATGGACTCAGAGAGATTTGTTTGCCTATTGGTAGAGATTGGAAAGAACAGTGGGTCCATCCAGGACTTCCGGTGGGACGGCGCGCCGATGGCGGCTCTTTTCGGAGCCGTCCGCTTGGGAAGGCGTCAGAGCCAGCATGAACAGCGGTCAGCAGCTGTTCAGCGGCTTGGAACCTTGTGCCCCGGGAGAAGGGGTCGAGGTGAGTACTCCTGGATAGGAGTAGAGTCCCAAAAGCTCTCCCTTTATCTCGGGAGAGCGA